TCAGCAGAGGACTTTGAAGTAGGGAGAGGAGAAGCTACTGTCACAGAAGAGCTACGCCACCCAAAAAGCAAAAGCATTTGGTCACAACTCAAAGACTTCCTCGGCGAAACATCACAGCTGATATTAAACAGCACATAGAGGGATGGGCAGTTCTGTGCTTTTTTTCAGAAGGTGAAACTTGACTATTTTAATATTTTTTTTCCTGCAAAACCAGAGAACTTCTGGATTCCTTCATAGCTCCATTTTTTCAACGCAAAGACATGCTTGATTTCAACTTCCATTCCAAAAGTCTGCGATCCTCTTTTGCAAGAGTAATTTCAAACAAGGCGTCTTTTACGCATAGGTTGCAATGCTGTTTCTTCATGCAGAGAGGGGGTTACGGCAACACATGTAATGGATTCCACTTGTGCGTTGCTTGGCTGTATGTAAAAATGTGGAATACTAAAGAGGCCAGATGGGTTTGCTTAGGGTCAGCCTGATAGGATGTTTTTACATCATGCTGAGAATGCATTATGTCATGTTGAGAAGGAAAATTAAGTGACAGCGATCAAGAAACAAAGTGGAATAAAACCAAAAGGGAATGAAAGAATGGCCAAATATGAATATTTATATTTTTTTCAGGAAAGCAAATTTTAAACAACCTGGAGGGCTGACAAGTACAACCTCATGGGAAAGAGATCTCAGGAACAACCACACCTCCAAAAAATCCAGCAATTACAAGTGCAAGGGTAAATGACTCCTATTGTAAAGACAGTGCCTGATGAGAACAAGTTGGCCAAATCTTGCATGGTCAGAAACACCCAAAAATTATAGAGTCAAATCACAAAATATAAAAAAATGCCCCAATATGACAAAAATCAGAAGAGCCCACCCACAAAAAGTGTTACAAATAGTATAAGCAAGGAAACCAGAGGTGCATTAGTAACAGGACAAGGCCAAGGAAAACATTCACATTAAATGAATGATTAAATTAAATTATGGAGAAGACTACATGCAAATGCTACAGAGAACTTTTTAAATGTCTGCCTTTGCTTCAGTCTCCACTGAAAGGGCCAAGGATGCACACGTGGTTAATGGGAATGACAAAGGCGTAAGAACACGGGATGGACAAGGGCAAGAGCTGGGTTAGGACAGTTTTCATGGATATGGGTGGGTTTGGAGACACCTGAAAACTGTCGGTAAATCCAAACTCACACATCCTCACTCAGCGAAAAAAAATCTAAGTGATGAATCAGTATTCAAACTTGAGCTTTTATTTGTTACAAATGAAGTCAACCTTGGGGAAAAGAACAAAAGGGTGTGACCTACAATTTCCAAAATATTGAGAAACACTGGGCTGAGAACCTCCCCAGTGCTCTCCAGCCCTATTTTAAAGCAAAATAATGTAGAAATGATTACTTAGAGATGGTTTAGGTATACTTTTAGAAGATTTCCCTTTGCGTTGGCAGACGTGGCTTTTTACTCTTTTCAGGATCCATACTATAAACCAGCACATGAAACGGCAGGCAGCAGAAGGCAGGGATTTGTGAATAAAGGCAACTTTGAAATTCCCTCTCTATCACTGCTCCCCGGGACCGGGATGCTGCCCCTGAGCGTCCAGCCGTGAACGGGACATCCCGGCTGTGTCCCTCGTCCTTTGCTCAGGGGGTGGGGGATGGTGGCCTCAGAGCTGCTCTCGGATGTCCACCAGCTCAGGCCTAGGGCTCTGTGGGATGCTCCAGCCTGAGCAGGTAAAGCAGCCCGAAAAACAGACTGGAAATGAGTCCAAAGTACTTAGGGTGGGAGGGAGCATCCTGCTGGTGAAGTTTAAGCAGAGGAAATAATGGAGCATATCCTGAGGTTCACACTGCCTTAAATTTGGTAATTCTCAGTTCCTAGGGAAGA